CATTGACCACAATAAGAATTTATTCCTATCAATTTATTAAGTGCGTATGATGTGATGACTATTATTCTAGGAGGCTGGGATATATCAGTGAACAAAACAGGTATTATGTCTGCTATTAAAGCAGGATAAGGTAATTGGAAGTGTGGGAGGGGTGCGTTGGGTTGTAATTTTAAATAGGGTGGATGAGGTAGGTTCCTTAAAAAGGACATTTGAGCAAAGGCCTGAAGGAAGTCAGAGTTAGCCATAGCCTCATCTAGCTGAAGTGCTCTGTCTGTGTGGTCTCCTATTTTGTCCTTGTAGGGCATGTTTTTCTTCTGTCCTATCATTGTTACAGGGGTTGAAGGGATGGATATGAGTGTTCACACTCAATTTAGAAATGCCTGCTGTCAACCCCACCCTTCTCATGCTAGTGTGTTTCCTGTCTTTCCCAAATTGCTTAGCACCAGATGATTATGTAGGAAGTCAGTAAATAATATTGTTTATTGTTACATTAAATTAATAAATTATTAGTTTGAAATAGCTTTTACAAACCCCTATTTTGCCAAAAATACTATTCAGCCTCCTAAGAGTTTCTTCCTTTTCTGCATCCTTTTGAAGTGCCACCCCACATGTGCTGTGAGCAATGAAATGACTGTGCATCTCAGAGCAGACAATGTCCTCTGCAGTGGAGGGGAAACTGCTCTTTGTACATGTTACCCACTCAGAGTAGGATCCCATAAGAAACGATCAGTAGCTCATCGACAACAATACAGTGTGCTCAGCAAAATTTGGGGGTGATGGAATGGTGCTCCATGGAACTGGGTGGCATTATAGTTACCTGACTGCACATTTTTCAAAACTCCGAGAACTAAACTTTACTGTATGCAAATTGTAAAAAAATCAACCAGGATGTTTTTTCGGAGGCGGGGGCTCCCAGAATGGAGTGCGCACTTTGGCAAATGAATCTACCTGTATTGCAAAATGTGTGGAATAACCTCACTGACGGGGAGTGTGGACAAAAGAAGACGATCTAAGTAACTTTGGGTAATGGTGTTTTGCCTGGAAACTATAAAGCTAATGACAAAAAGAACTGTACAAAGACACTGTATTCTAATTGCTAAGTCTTTCTCACAGAGGTCCAGATTAACAATTCTGAAACTAAATCTTTTATTTTCTTTCAAAAAAAATTCTGAAACTACTTTACTTGATACCAGGAGAGAACAAATGAGTAAATAAATTGTGAATAATGGGAGCCAGGTTTCTCACTGTCAAAGAAAGAAATGACAGTGAAGCTGCAGAGGCCAGGAAGTGCCCCCATAGTGCTGGATTAGGGCAGGAGACATCAATAAGAACTCATCTTTTTTTAAAAGTATGTAACAGATATATAGATACACTAATAAATAGATATATGTCTGTATAGACAGGTTAGCATATAATACATAAGATTTCCTAGCTCTGTCTGCACAGAGGATTCAGAAGCAGAGATAGTCCAGCAGCAACCAACATAACCAGCACTTGGATATCCAGTGGTACCGGAGAAATACCATTCTCCAATAAAAGAAAACCAACCAGGCTCTTTGGAGAAATGGCTGATTCTAGGGCTGACACAAGGAAAATACAAGAGGATCCCCAAGTATCTTTTAGTGTCTGCAAATAAGGAAAAACTAAAACACACACACACACATACACACACACACACACACACAGAGAGAGAGAGAGAGAGAGAGAGAGAGAGAGAGAGTTAGAAGAAAAGATGGCTGATTCTAGGGCTGACACAGGGAAAATACAAGAGGATCCCCAAGTATCTTTTAGTGTCTGCAAATAAGGAAGAACTAAAACACACACACACACACACACACACACACACACACACACACACAGAGAGAGAGAGATTTAGAAGAAAAGATGGAGACATGTCAAAGGATACTGAAGCCAATCTGGAAAAACTCCCAATGGCCCAAACTAAAACAATCTGAGGAAATAAGTAAATAATTTGATTCTAATCCAAAGGATAAAATAAATATACATGAGCCCACACTAACCATAAGAAACTGAATTGTGTCCCCTCAAAATTCATGTCCCCTGGAACCTCAGAATGGGACCTTACCTAGAAATAACGTCTTTACCAATGTAATTAGTTAAGGATCTTGAGATGAAATCATCCTGGATTTAGGGGTGACCCTAAATCCAATGACCAATGTTCTTAGAAGAGAAAAGGACACAGAGACACACAGAGTGAAGATGGTGTGAACCTCAGGCAGAGACCAAGATGATGTGTCTGCAAGCCAAGGACCACCAAGGGTTGCCAGCAACCATCAGAAGCCAGGAGAGAGGCATCAGACAGATTCTTCCTCAGAGCCCCCAGAAGGAATTCACCCCGGCAATACCTTGATTTCAGACTTCCTTTCTCCTGAATTATGAAAGAGTAACATTCTGTTGTCTTAAGCCACCACTTTGTGGTAATTTGTTACAATGGCCCTAAGAAACTGACACAATGACACACACAACTCATTAGATAAATAAAGGGAGGAAAAAAAACGAATCTCCCTTAGAGAAGAATTTCAAATATCTGTAGATAATCCCCCACTCCACAACATGGAGCTTGATTCCTCTCCCTTTGAGTGTGGGCTGGACTTAGTGACTTATGTACAAAGAATAGACTATAGAAAGAGAAAACAGGTAACTTTACAGCAGAGAAACAAGGTCAGCATTACCAGTGCTTAAGTCATGTTGATAGCAGGTGTCCCAATAGGATTATTAAGAAGAGGACTTCATCGCTGTGATACTCATTCCCAAAACTCATAGCACCTAGTCTAATCATGAGAAAAACATCAGAAAAACAGAAAACCCGAATTGACAAACATTCTACGAAATAACTCGTCACTACCTTTTAAAACTATTAAGGTTATAAAAAAACTGAGAAACTGACACAGATCCCACGAGATGGAAGTGACAGGATGACTAAATGAAATGTGGTGTCCGGGACTGGATCCTGGAAAAGAAAAGGTACATTAGTGAGAAAACTGGTGACACCGAGTAGCTGTGGTGCTTAGTTAATGGTGTTGTGCCAATGTTAATTTCTAAGCTTTGACAAATGTACCATCATTATGCAAGATGCTGACGTTAGGGGAAGGTGGGTGAAAGATATACGGGAACTCTCTTTACTATCTTTGTAACATTTTGGTAAATCTAAAATTATTCCAAAATAAAAAGTTAAAAAAAAAAAAACAAAAAACCATGTGCAACAGATTTAGAAGGCAGTCAGCATTTTCTCAACCTCTACTTTCCATCTCGTGGTTTTATTTCCTTTCTTAAATGGAAGAGCATCTTGACTCAACCTCTGCACCTCCTCTCCTCCCCCTCAACCTCCTTCCCAAACTAAGAAATGCATTTTAAAATTAGGAAAGTAAGTGAACAAATGAGTGAATGGATAAACAGACAACTTACAGTAGCATGGGGGCATCCAGCAGTTTGGGGAACAATTAGGAAGTGTAAATATTTAGACCCATGGCATGGCCACCACAATGCTGATGGCCACACAGGGACAGCGTTTCAAAATGAAAGTTAAATATTTATTCTGGCTCTCCGGTCCCTCATCCACCAGGGCTCCTTGCACAGCTGGCTTTCGAATGAAGCCAGAGTTTCTTCACTTGGCCTGTGACTTCCCACTCCACATGTGCTATAGATAGACAATTCACTGGCTTCCACTCCATCTGATTGGCACTCAAGGATGAAAAGCACAGTCTGAGGACAGGGAGCACGTCTAATCCACTCTTCCATATCCTCAGGAGGTTGCTGTCCAGCTCAGATGCACTAGATAAGGTATGAGAGCACCCTTTGTAAACCTGAAAACACTATGGCATTGTTGCTGTTACTTGCCCTGTGCCTTGGTTCTGACTAAACTGTAATGCCCTCCTTGTCACTAACATAGCACACTTCAAGAAACTTCAGACACATCTGCTAACACTTGCCAAGTTACCTTGATTTGATTTCTCAGCCTCTGCAGCCCTTGGCTCTGTAGCTTGAACCACTTGATCCTTACGACTTTGGCCTCACTCCTATATTCATTCAGTCTTTCATTCAAAAAAATTCATTCAACCACATGGCAGCTCCGTGCTAGGTATAGGAACACAGACATATATAAGCCATAATCCATAACTCTGAAGAGCATACATTACTCTTGGCTGCTTATTTGATTTAGCTCTGACCCTATTTGAGGCATCCTGGCTTCACTTTTCCTCTCTAACTCCAGGCTTGTCTCCCTCTCTCTTGCTTGGTTCACACAGAATACTTGGCTAGTAGTCAGATTTCTCAGCTTGAGTCTGAGATCCCTGACCTGTTGGGCCCTCCTCAGTGTTGTTGCAGTGAAGAGAAGAGTGAGCAGTTCCAGTATCCACCCGCCTTGTTGACTCCAGCCCTGGAGGTTTAGGCATCTGGTAGTGCTGATCATCCACCTGTTTTAGGAGGTGCTTGTTGCCTTTCTCCATCACCTATTGGTACATTGTGTCCACCTATTGGACATTCTGCTGTTTCATTCCAGGCAACTTCACCAACTGCCTGCCTGGACCCCAGCAGATCTTTGTACGTGTCCTTGAACACTGATTTGCTCTTCAGTTGAACCTCACAGCCCTGGTACTGCCTTGCCCCTATCCCATCTTGCTGCAACTGAGAGATGGGATTCTACTTCCAGATGACAGGTCCTCCATGGCTGCTGATAGGCGCTAGCTCTAAGGAGCTAACTTTTGCCATGGCTGGACAACATGTCCCATTGGCAAAAGGAAGGTCCCATCCCAAGGTGCAAAACTGCTTGGCGCCTCTAGGATTTTTACCCTTGCCAAGAACTATGAAGAAGAGACGCATTCTTGCCCAAGTCTGAACCAGTTCCCTAGGTTTTACTGAGCTATCAAAACCTGGTTTTTAAAGCTGAAATGTCTCAATTTTGACTTTAGCATCTGTATTTCCACAAAAATATTTCTCTTTTTTAAAGATGGGGGTACCCTGACTGGAACAGTTCTGCTCACCTAGAGATTGGCAGAAGGTCAGGGTATCTGCTGGCATCATTGTTCAGGACACAGCTTTCCCTCTGGAGTGCAACACCTTGGTTACAGGGAGGTAGATCTTGATCTCTTCAGCTCCCAGGTCCAGTCACTTCAGCACCATGGAAGAGAACAGGTAGCTCCATTTACCATATTAATGTTTTCAATTTTCTTATGTATTCTATGCTGTGGAAAAGGCTGAGAAGCACTCTTGTAGGGACAGGCATCATGACTATCTTCTTCATTGCCCTGGATGAGACAATGTCTTAGAATTCTGGGGTACATGCCAGGGGGAAGGAGAGGAGGTTGGGTTAGCCCAGCTGGAGAGAGGCCCAGGAGCCACATGAGGTCAAGACTGTCCTTCCCTGAAAGTTCCCAGAGGTGCTAAAATCAAGAGCGTGTAGAACTCAGGGGACTGTAAAATCAAGAAGGGAGTCCAGCTCTATCACCAAGTCAAGGGAGCTGGGGTAGGTGGTAGAGGTCTGGTTTCTAATCCTGGGTTCCTAATCCTGAGTGTCCAATCTATAAATGGAGGCCAGAAAATGAGAGCAGGGCGAAGTCGGTGAGGGGAAAGGGGAAGGGAGTCTGCGCATACACCTGAAAGGTGTTGCAGCCCCCATCTGACTTCTTTTTTTTTTTTTTTTTTTTTTGAGACAGAGTTTCGCTCTTGTTACCCAGGCTGGAGTGCAGTGGTGCGATCTCGGCTCACCGCAACCTCTGCCTCCTGGGTCCAAGCAATTCTCCCGCCTCAGCCTCCTCCCATCTGACTTCTACCTAGCACCAGGAGACCCGACTGCAATCAAAGGACCAGCAGAGTGTCAGAGAAATCGTCCACTGTCAGGTCCTCTACTTGTGTCTGGAATTGGAATCGTCCTTTTCTTTCCCCTCTGCCTCTTCAAGTCCCACTCATCCTTTGAAATCCAGCTCAAGACTGACTTCCCTGTGTAATAAATACGCCACCTCCTCTGCACTCCTACCACCATGTTGATCCCACGGTGCACTTTGGCATATAACTGCTGATGCATTGCATCACAGAGATTCATGTATGCTGGCCTTTGCCTTGTCTGTCACCTGGAAACAAGGTGCCTTGCCTTAAGTCCTTTCATAAACCTCCCAGCATCTAGCATGCTGCTGGGCTTAGTAAACCTTCATGGAATGAAGACAGTAATCAAGTTATATTGACATTCTCAGTGGCCCAGATGGTTCACCAAACCTGGGTGTTGCCCATCTGGCTACATGCAAATATGGTTTTTCTAACATGTGTCAACTGGTAGAGGCCACACCTACTACCAGTAGGACATGCACGTCATGTCGCTTTCCAATACAAACAGTAAATCAGGCTAGACTGGTAGTTCTCAACTCTGGATCCCCATCGGGGTCGTCAAGGAGCTTTCAATAGCTCCATTCTGAATTTATCGGCTCAGAATGAGGCCTGAACACCAGTGGGTTTTAAAAGCCTTCTGAACAATTCTTGCAGAGCACCAAGGTTGAGAACTTTTTTTATTATTCATTTGGATAATTTTTCATATGCTTTTTATATTCTAGAGCCCAACCCCAGCTGTTCTATCGACTCCAATGGTTAACCTGTGTTTTCTATCCTTTTGATATAGTTTGATTTATTCACTGAGCACTTAGGCAGTGCATCATGTGCCAGGCAGAAACAAAGAGAAGCATGGGGCTTCCCCCGAGAAACCCACTGCCAGCTTTATGGAAATAAGCAAACTTTGCTATCTCAACTCAACAACTTAGTAGATTCAGATAAATTCTTGGATAACACCTTGCTATCTGGATTCTCACTATTTGCTACCTGAAATGCAGAAACCAAACACATTAAAATAACGGGACTCCTATCTACACAAATTACACAACGTTACAATCCAAGCTGTTGCTATAGCTCTAGAATCAAACAGAACGGGATAGTACATTATTATAAGTGTCATGTAAGTAAATGAGTTGAGAATAAACAGGAAGATAGGGCCACCTCGATAGAGAGGGGTCCCTGGCCTCAGGGTTTTACAGCCACCAACAATCAGGCCAGGTAAAAAGGACGCTTTCCAGGTAATGGTGTCAGACACCAGTGCCGTATCTCTTCTCCTGGAGATGTTTTCTCTTCCCATTTCTGAGATCTTTGTGTCTCCCATAATGCCTAATACTGTGAGAATCTACCTTGTCTGGTTCAGGAAAAGTCTGCAGATTGTCTGTGGGTAAATAAATGAATGTAGGGGGATTCTTCCGATTAGGAAAATGCGGGGCATTGGAAAGGAAAAGTAGATAAAGAGCAGAGGGTAACTGAGGGATGGTGCCTAACACTACACAAAAGACCAAAGAGAAGACTCAAAGTAAAAAGCCAGCAACAGGCCCTTTTGAATGCAGAAGTGCTACTCTCCTGGTGCCGTGCTCCACACCCTCATCTATTGCCAAGGCCCCCTCTTCCTGGTGGACCTGGATGATTTCTACAATGTTCATTTGCAACACTATCTCCCCTACCTGCAGTCTTACTCTTGACTTGTTATATGCCTTTAGATATATCTAACGTTGCTGATAACCTGGATTTGCTCCTCACTCACTCTCCTCTCTTCCTCAAGGGCTTATATGATGTAGGAAGAGGCTTCAAAAGTCATCTCCTTTGTGCCCTACCTTCATGCAATACCCAAAAATAAGCAACAAAATGACTAGTCCTTCTTCTTGGAGATCCCCTGGACAGAGACCCTCTGGTGTCCAGTAGGCACTGATAGCTCACCCTATCTTCTCCTCTGATACTGCCTCCTGTCCCTGGTCTTTTAGTATGTCTGAATTTTCTAAGGCAAAGGATGGCTCTGTGCATACCTTGCCTTGTCTTCTCTGGTCTCTCACCTCCCTCACGCTGCATATGTAAGAATGTTCTCTCTGAGTTAGATCCCTCAAATTATTTCCCAGGGCCTTCATCTCTTGGCCCACAAAGGAGGATCGATAAGAGAGTTCAAGAAAGCCGAAAGCCAAGAGCATTCCCCATGCTGGACTGAGGAAAGGTTGAAGCAGACCAGGCACAAACCCTTCAGCTCCTTGTCAGCAGCCTTTGATCTCTGTGGCAGCTAACATGAAAGTAGAATTTGGCCCTCCAACTGTACAGGACGAGACTTGACAAGAAAATCAGTTTCTCTGACAATTTCAAAAGGCCCGACACTTTCGTCACTTGGCACTTGGCCATGGGGAATGGTGCTGTGGACACATCCGCACCCCACCGGAGAAACCATTTTCCCAGGAAGGACTGACAGTTCAAGTGCAGGCAAGTCTGTGAGGAATGAAGGACAAGCTCTTCCCTGCCCTTCACTGAGGACAGGTGTTGCAGGAAGCAGGAGGATTTTCACTGGATAGCTGGGGGAACTTCCTACCTGTCTGGGTTGAAAGGCACCAGGAGGGGTGTCCAGGGAATCTGGAGAAACTCTTTTCTCAAGTCTAAAGAATAAGCAAGCATATGGTTTGGAAAGTTTAAGCCAAAAATGCTGTAGCGAGCTGGCCTTTGTAGGGTCTTGCCATATTTGCACAGCCGAGTGTGATTCAGATGTGCTTTTTTCAGCTTACTTCACTTGTTCTTCAATAAGCAAACCAAAATACATTAGATTTGCCTTTTATTACAGTTTCAACTTACAATTTGGCTTCTGAGCTACTCAAAGTTTAGATGCTTCTGAACTCAGCTGGATCCTGCTTTCCATATTCCCAAATGGCCTTGGGAAAACTGGTAAAGTTGGCAGAACTTCCCCGTGGTACCCTCACATTCCTTCCCAGCCATCCTTGACATGCCCTCCACCTTCAAGCATCCTGGAGCTGCAGTATCTCAGTGTGAATACATACTAAGGGTTCACAACTCACTAAGTAGTCTTCTTCTAAAATGTCAAGAAGTATTTTAAAGGTGGGCCTCATAGGATCATTCCCTTCAAAGATATATTATTTGGGGGGATTTTATTTTCCTGGAAGACTTGTGCCCTGCACTTTGAGTAGGATCCAAAGCTGGTAAGTTTCCCTTCTTGGGTATGTTCCCAAGGAGAGTAATGACAGACTATAGATGCTTGGTAGACATGAAGACTGGGCTGCGCCTGTACTGATGCTTCTGAACTCCCCTGAAAACCATATAAATAATCAGCATTTGTAACAGCAGCAGCAACAGCACTCTCCACCACCACCACCATAACCACAGCACTGGCCAAGGGAGGTCTTTCTTAATTAAAGCAACTATCTTTCCTTACCATCAATGCAATTAGAATTTAATGAACCCAGGCCATTTCTTTTAAGGCCTCAAAATTACAGCTGATCTCAACACTCACGTGCTGGGTTGGAGGAGGAGGCATCACCCATTCTGAAAGCATGAGAAATGGAGGGCAATAGGAATTAAAGAGATACGGTTGTTCTACACTGGAGAGAATCACCAGGAGATGACGGGGACTCAACAATGACCAGAGGAAAGATGACTGCTCCTAAGAATTCTGAAAGAATGTGGAAAATCCTCACTTCCCAGCATGAGGGAGGGCGGGAGGCACATCAATCAATCAGTCAGTAAACAAGCATTTATGCAACACCACCTTGTGCCAGGCACTGCATTAGATTATAGAGGACATGACAGGAAGACAGATAGATAAATAAGACAGTAGACACAAGTCCTGATTTCAGTCTACTTCAAACTACACTTCAGGTACGCGTGTCGAAATGATGACTAGAAGGCAGGAAGCTAATGGTTACATAAAGAAAGTAGCAGGAGTTCTGACAAGCCATGCTGTTCTGGGAGACACAGAACCCAAGGACGTAGAGAGGAAGTGAAAAGCCTTCCAAGAGAGAAAAAACAGCACAGCACAGGCAGGAAACGAACCTAACCTGTTCTGGCAACAGTGAGCAATAAGTAGCAAACAAATGAGCCAGGGGATTTTAAATATTCTAGTAGCCACATTAAAAAATAAAAAGTAAAAAAAGGTAAAATTGATTTTAATATTTTATTTACCCCAATATTTCTAAAATATGTATTTCATTCTCTGAAAGCTGGTGTGTGTCTGTACTTACAGCACATCCTAATTCAGACTAGCCACATTTCAGGTGCTCAGTAACCACATGCAGCCAGTGGTTACTGTGCCCTTAATCATTCAG